CAGCTGATTAAATGCACTTAGTTAACAAACCAAAATTTATTAAACTGTAGAATCTGGACAAGATTATGTTTCTCCCAGAAAAACAGGTTTCACTGTAAAGGTTTAGATAGACGAACGTGTGACCACTTTTGAGAAAAGTTGTAATAGATTTTTTGAGAACCACCAGGTCTTCTTGTTTAATTTATATGCTGTATGTTTTAAAAAAAAAAACATGGGGGACTCTCCATATTTTTTAATGCAAATAATCTTAGAGCTTTTAATAGAATTTGCATAGCAGCTTATATCTACTATTAAAGAGTAAAACATTCTTGAAGCTTTCAGGGAAGACCTGTAAACTTAAGCACTTTCTCTGCTTTTTTGTATCTGGTCTTAGACACTTATGCTGAGTTATGTTCTTATTATTTTCACTGTTTGTAAGCTATTGATTGTAAGCCAAAGGTCATCATTTCTCAGTCCCTAAATGAAGAAGTAAAATGCCTGATCTCTTTCATCTCAAATCATATTTCTGGTCATATCTGAATATCTGTGTGAAAGAAAGAGACATTTAAATTTGAGATTCTGCTTAAACTTTTAAGTTGAATTTGACTATAGCCATATTCATTCTTTGTATGTATCTCTAACAGGTCTTTTGTATGCCTGGTGATATTATACTCTGCCTTGAGTTTAGACAGTTCTTTCAGCTAAATATGAATTCTTATTGTAGCTTTTTTCCCCTCCTGAAGATGAAAGCAGAAGAATCTACCATCTGCTACCATTCTCTCAAGAATGCTTAGTAACCTAGAATTAGTTTGACTTTCTGTATGTTGTCTTTAAAAATTGACAGCAGCAGTCTCCCCTGCTGCCCCACTTTTTAAGATATCTTGTTTACTGTGCTGAGTATATAGACAATAAATGTGTAATGATAGTTCTAAAAAAATTAAATGCAAAAAGGTGCTTTTACCTCTAGTTAACTCTGATATTTTCCAGAGGGCCCCTGGAACATGTCAGAAGAATTTTTTCTCACTAGAGAAAGTATTTGACTAATTTGGCTTATTTATCTGATATATATATATTTATTTACCAGGAAAGCACTGTCAAAGAGAATGATGCTAAACTTTGTTACTGAATGTTTTGTATTACAGAAATATCAGAATTTCCTTATGTCAACTGTTTTACAGTAAGCTCTCATCAGATCTTTAACCATTGTCATTTGTAAGTCTTTTGTCATTTATAGTATTATCCCTAAACTGGTAAAGAACTAGATTTCAGCAGAACAGGTATTAGTTACATAAGATTACATAAACTAAAGAAAATGATTTTGTGTCTTTTTGTTTCAAATGTTGCTGGTAAAGTGTTTTAACCTTGTTCTCTTAAACTGACAACAGTTTAGTAAATGACTATCTTTATGAGCAGAATTGAAACATCCTTCTCTCTACTTGATCCCTCCAGAGTTTAAAAACTTTCAGTGACTGTTTTTGTATTCCATGGCAGTATGTTTATTTGCACGAGTTCAATAAGAATCTGCTTTCCTTGTGAGAAGACTACTTAAGAACACTGGTTATACTACCAGGGCTTTGACTGGAATGTCGTACCTGAGAGACATGTGCATAGACTCAGATGTGAACAACTTTAAAGAACTAAGATTGACTTTATAAAGCCAACAAAGCCCCTTGGAAGAACTGGCCTGGTACCTTGCTTACAGAGTTCCCAGCAGCCTTACCAGGTGAGTAAAGAAGGTCACTTCCTGGCAGGTGCAGAGACCTCGAGAAGAGAAGAATTCATCCAAATCTACAGGTACTGCAGGCAAAGCCTGATGGCAAGTCTGGCTTGGCTGTCTGGCCTCAAGAGGCCTTTAAAAGTTCAATCTGAAATTCCTTACAAAAAGTTCCAGCAAAGCATATTTAAAAGAGCCTGTGTAATCAATTGCTCTTCTTGCTGCACCTGTGCAAATAATCAAGCCAGCTGTTAATTATTTTCTTAACCTAGTTACTTCTAGTAAAAATGAGAGTGATTTTAGAGAGAAGTATCGTTTCAATAATGCAGCCTCCTTCCAGAATAAAAAATCCAACTCCAGATGTTGCTACATAACCTAATAACACAATTTGTTTTATCTTGCCTAGAAGCCACAAAACTGCAAATAGTAATAAAAATGAAACCCAGAATAGAAGCGCCAGCCTTCTGAAGCCCTCTCAACTGACCAGTGATGGAGACCTAGCTGCACCCTTTACTGCGCCCCCTTCTCAGCACGAAGCAGCCAGAGCGGTCATCGCCCCTTTTCCCTAGCAGCAGCTAGAGTCTCTATCTGTAGAAGAAAGAATGAGACCATACCCATAGCCTTCCCTGGTAAAAACAGGTATTTAATCCCTCCTCCCAAGGGATGGTGGGCTTGTAACACTAGAGTGACCCCATGTGTCTCTACTTCTGCCTTCAACTCCTCCCGTGATTTCTGTATCATGGTCCAGTTAGTACCCAGACTAATGTATCATGATGACTTATCATTCGTGGCAGAATTAGAACCTAAACTAAGGTATAAAAGAGAGCCAGTCTCACTCACTCTAGCTGTATTACTAAGAGTAAGAGTCGCAGCCGGAGTAGGACCAGGGGCAGCTGCAATTATACAAGGAAACCAACATTACGAAGGACTAAGAATAGCTATCGATGAAGATTTGAGAACTATAGAACAGTCTATTTCTAAACTTGAAAAGTCCCTAACCTCTCTCTCTGAAGTAGTGCTGCAAAATAGACGAGGGTTAGATTTACTATTTCTAAAAGAAAGTGGATTGTGTGCAGCTCTAAAGGAAGAGTGCTGCTTCTATGCAGACCATACTGGAGTAGTAAGAGACTCAATGTCTAAATTAAGAGAAAGATTAGATCAGCGAAAGCGAGAACGAGAAGCTAACCAGAGCCTGTTTGAATCCTGGTTTTCTAGATCCCCATGGCTTACAACTCTAATATCCACTTTGGCAGGACCCCTGCTTATTTTAATATTGCTCCTCACCTTAAGTCCCTGCATTTTAAATCGAGTAATAACCTTTATTAGAGAAAGAGTAAGTGCTGTGCAGGTGCTAATGCTGAGACAACAGTATCATACCCTCACACAACAAGAAGAAACCAACATTCCATGATTAGAATGTTCAGAAAAAGAAGTGGGGAATGTAGGACCCCAACCTCCCTGAGAAATAAGTTAGCCTAAGAGTAGCCATCTTGAAGCCCAAAAAGCCATTCTGATATATGACTCAGAGGGAACAACTGAAACCAGGTAACTCCTCTGGAAAAACAAGTTAATCAATCATGACTGCTGGCAGCGCTAACCTTTCGGTTAGTTAAGCATAAAAGCTGACCCTACCTTGCTACACCCCCAGGACGTGGCACTAACCCAGAAATAGTAGGTTTGAAAAATTACTGCCTTTGTAGTATTGTTATCTTGCTATGTAGTATTGTTATCTTGTTACTACAACACAATCTGTAACCATGGTAATCCTCTAGGGCTGAATGCCTCAGAAAATCCTATATAACCACTTAGTTGTAAGTGCTCAGGGTCCTCGTTGAGACCTGCTGCGACGGGCTGACTTGGACCCCAACTAGTTGGCTTCCGAATAAATTCCTCTTGCTTGTTGCATCAAGAAACGTCTTTGGTGAGTGATTTGGGGCGGCGCCTTCCTCAGGGGAATCCAACAAAAGAAGCTAATAAGTTTGATATAAAAGACACTGGGGAACCATTCTGTTTGGTTCTTTTCTTGTGTTTTTAAGTAGGCAATTAATCAGAGCTGTGCATTAGGAAAATGTGCTTTTAACAGTCAGTAGAAGAGATTCAAGGGCAAGAGACCAGTTAGGAAACTGGAAGCAAGAAGGAATGAAAATCTAAACTAGAACACTGGAGGTGGGAATAGAAAATATAAGGGACAGATCCAGAAAGGATGTAAAAATAAAACTGATAGTACTTGGCACTTGATAGAATTTACGGGTATGAGAGGGATTTAAAGTCAAAACCTGGCTCCAAAGTTCTCAATCTGGGAAAAAGGAAGAATAGAAAAAGGTAGTACTATTAGTTGATTTGAGGAAGATGGGGGGGGGGAATAGGTCTAGGGAAAACAAGTTATCTCTTCAATTACTGAGTCTGCAGCACAGGTGAGACTTTCAGGTGGATTGAAGAACAACGGAAAATGTGTATCTGGAGTAGCTGAGTAGAGATGAAGATTTGCTCACAAGTGGGCAGCTGAGGTGAGAAGCTGCAGATGCCAAGAAGTACACAATGCAGCCCTTTTTCATTCACATCTACTCCACTTTTTGAAGTCCCCTCAAAGCCAGCATTTTACTTAACAGTCATAATCTCGAAGTAGGAAAAGGCAATACCACCTACTTTAACAGGTAAGTGTAAGGAGGCTGAGGAGTGAGGGGTTTTGCCGGAAGTACTTCAATAAAGTAATAGACCTAGGTTTAGAAGCCACAACGCCCAACTTCGCTGCCGACTGCACACAGGTAAATGCCCGACTTGCACGGGTCAGTGTTAAATTGCAGTGGTTTATGGTTTGGGGTTTGTGGGGGTTTTGTTGCTGTTTGGGGGTTTTGGGTTCTTTTTTTTTTTTTTTCACTGCTGTTGGTTTAAAGAGAACTGTGCCCTAAACCAACGAGACAACGGAGCTCCACTTGGCAGAAATCACTCTGCAACGAGGGCCCACTGCGTGTTGCACGTTTTTAAAAGGGGTCTTTCTCCCTACCCAACTGAATGAGCAGAATGGGCTCATACATGGCAAACACCCACCGACACAGAGAGAGGCTTCCCGCCGAAGACCGCTATGCAGCACGTTTAAATCAGAAAACTCAACAGGACAAGGAGAGCGAGACGAGGCTCAGAGAGCACAACGGCTTTTACTGAATTTTAAGGTGAGGTCGTTTAGCAGAGGGCGGAGGTCCGACAAGTCCGTATCTGCACGGCAGGCGGAGGAAGGGGCGGCGTAAGTCAGACGGTGTAGAGAGGACGAGGGGGGTTTGGGGGGACGCGGGGCGGGGCTTGGGGAGGGGCGGGGAGCAGGGCGTGGGGCTCTGGGCTCCGGCGGGGCAGAAGCGGAAACCCGAGCCTCCTGCGCAAAGCTTGCCGCGCCGCCCCCGAGTCGCAGCCAACTCGCCTCCCTCCACTCCGACCCGGTAAGCCGAGGTTTTTGTCTTCCTCTGAAATGAAATGAAAAGAGCGACAGCATGCTTCCCCCCGGCTTGATCTTTGGGTTAAATGTGGGCGTCGCTGGAAGAGCAGGAAAAATAAATCTGTGGGCGGGAATTCGGGGAAGAGGGGACGGAAGACACAGGCCTAAAGTTGTGCTTGTAATCAGCCCGCGGGAGGTGCTTTTGTATCCGGCAACGATATGCGCGGGGCTAGGGAAGAGCGAGCGCCGCGCACTGAAGCGCCGCGCGTGGTGGCCGCCCCCGATCGCCCCCTGGGCCTGGACGGGCGCGAAGCGCAGGCCCTGCTTGTGCTGGAAGCCCCTCGCCATGGGCTCGGGAAGCCTGGGAGACAAGCTGGAATCCGCGTGGGATTCTGTCCCGCGGCACTAGCTTTTTCTGTGGACCGCAAAGGGTACATTTCGGAACGTAGTCGTCTGAGCCCAGGGGAAAACCGAGTCCCAGTAAGCTCCGGGCAAATGGCCAACGCACCAAGGCTGAAAGCGAAGCCAATCCCGGAAAGCGGAACCACAGCCAAGAATGTGGGAGGAGCCGGTCCAGAGGCCCCCTCCTTTCCTTTTCCTTTTGACGCACCGTCTTTTAGGTCCTCGCTCGGTCACCTGTTTTTCTCCTCCCAACCTTCTTCCTCTTGTCCATGAAGCCACCTCCCAAGTCCACCTCGTCCTTGGCCCTTTGGTGAAGGGAATCAGAAAACAGCCCCCACAGGCCTAATGGGGTTTCTGTACCCGCCACAAGCTAGGAATGGATTTCACATTTTTAAATGGCTGAAAGAAAATCAAAAGAGTAATACTACTTTGTGACGTGTGAAAATTCTGTGAATAGCAAACTTAAGCGTCTATAAAATTTTATTGGCTCACGGCCACACCCATTCATTCCAGTTGTCTGTAGCTGTCTTGCTACAAAAGCAGAGTGACAGATACCATACAGGCCACATTGGCCTAAAATACTTACCATCTGGCCCTTTACAAAACGTGTTCCCCACCCCTGCTCGGTGTGTCAGTCTTTATCTGCAGTTTAACTCATAGCCTATCCATGCGAAAAGGAAGAATCAGTGTCACAAGGAACCTGAAAAAGGCAGACTCGCCACCTCCCAGTGGTGAAGACCTGGACTGATTGCCCTGGAGAAAGGCAGATGCCTCCATGGATCCTTGGGAGGAAAAGGGAGGTTGGTTGAGAATGACAAGCTGTAATCCTCGAGTCTTTGTCAAGTGTTACTTCTTTTTACATTACTTTACTTTCCTCAAATGTGGAGTAGCATGCATTTTTATAAGCTCTTCCACAGTGTCTATTTATCAAACCATTTGTCTCCTTCCTATCATGGTTCCACCAAATACAATTCCCAGGATGCAGTGAGGTGTTGGGGGCATTGGCCTCCAAGTAGAAGTGGTTCTCCTCAATTTAAGCTCCCGCTTCACCTCCCAGCTCTGGGCTTCCCTCTCAGGAACCATTTTCACAGTCCTCTCCAGCTCTACAAATTTTGCATCCCATTCAGTAATTTGGTAATTGTTTCTTTCACTCTGTAAAATTACCTGTGGAGAGAAACACTGAGTTCTTCATTCTCTCTGTGTGGCTGACAGCACCAGTTTTCAGGAGGGGGGAAAAATAGTCTAATCATAGTCAAGGCTGATGTTAAGGAGAAAAAAAGGAAAGCAGAAAGCCACTTTGAAACCAGAAAAGCAAAGCAATCTGAATTATTTAAGGAAAAGGGTTAGAGGAAGCTCTTTAGGTCTAGAAAAAGGTTAGAAAGCCCTTGCTTCTCAGCCTGGAATCTTCTACCCTATCTAGTGTGCCCTCCCAAGCCAACCTTCCTGTCATCTGATGAATTAGTAAAACTGTGATTTTAGTCGTGATAAGAAAAGCTGTTGAGCAAACACATCTGTTTCTAGGCTATGGTATTAAGTTTGCCACCCTCACCCCCAACCCTGACCCTACCAACACTTCTTTCCTTTAGAAAAAGTTCTCTTTGAGAAAAAAAAATTCCAACAGTTTGGCTCTGGAAAAGAATCCACCTGTGGAAGAGTCCACCGGAACCCACTTACTGAAGGGGCTTTGTAGATATTCAAGATGCAGTGGGCTGCAGGCACCTGAGCTAGGCTGGAGAAGCACTAGAGAGTGAGAGGTTAAAAGGCTGCTGGAACAAGGTGGGCAGCCATGTGACTAAGCGCTCAGATCAGTAACAGGTCAGATCAGTTCATCATAGCCAGAAGCCTCCAGATACGAGCTCCAGGAAACCAGTCTCAGGAACAAATCAATGGCTAAAAGCTAAGTTGCAAACGTCACCGTCCAAACAGACAACACTGTTGGCACACAGAGATAAAGTCTCAGAGGAAGGGTGCATACTGGCAAGTTTTTCAGAAAACTTCTGCAGTTGCGGCTCTTTTCCACCAGGAGGAGCCCACCAGTTCCCTGCATTTGCTGGCGGGAATAATGGGCTGACAACAGCGTTAACAAATTACCTTGAAGAATTCTGTTGTAAGGAAAGCGGAGCCCAGCCCAGGATTTGAATCTCCTGTACCTCCTGGTGCACCCACAACTGTGGTTCACCTCTACAGATGCTGTGGGAGTCCCCATATCAACCTTTCTGGTTTGAAGTGACTGGAGAAGTTCTGCCAGCCATTCCTGTGGGAGTTAGTGTCATCTGGAAGCAGGAGGAACAAAGGCCAGAGACTGCAGACAGGGACCTGGAGGCTGAGATTCCAGGGCAGTTCTGCCACGTCTGTTCCCTCAGTTTCCTCACATGTGAAATTAATGATTCTTCACTTTCAAGTATGAAAACTGTTTACGAACATCCAGAAAGTTCTGTTCTCCAGCCCCTCACAATAACTATGCTTTTAGTTTTCTTCTAGAAAAATACATGAATCTCAGGAATTCAGTATTGCTTTTAAAAAAAACTTATTCATCACTTCTTTATGCTCTTGGAAAAATATAAAATTGTTTAATCCATAGACAAGGCTTGGCATGCATATGGATTTGTAGGTGTACAGTTATACATACATTTAACCACAGATCCTAAAAACCTCAGTAAACCCAGTCACTCTTGCTCTCTTAGACCGTCTACTGCTTTCACACATACCTACGTGGTTCATATTTCACCTAGCATAAATTTGTGAGGTGCTGTGAGCAGGGAGCTCACAGAATGTGACTTTCTCGACTTGGGCCCATTAGTCCTGTAAAATATGACCCAGTCTTTTAAAAAATACTGTGAGCCAAACTGAGTCTCTAGCATCCAGCCCTTGACATCTTGCCCTTGTCTGAGCCCTGAATTCTTTCCTCCAAAGGCAAAAATGTCCAGCCCTACAGAGACTGAGCGGTGCATCGAGTCTCTGATTGCTGTTTTCCAAAAGTATGCTGGAAAGGATGGTAACAGCTGCAAACTCTCCAAAACCGAGTTCCTAACCTTCATGAATACAGAACTGGCGGCCTTCGCAAAGGTACTAGTCCCAGCTCCCACCCCAACCCTCCCAAACCACCTAAAGCAGGAAACAAGAGCCTGGCAGAACGGCTGGGAATGAAGGACCCGCCAACCCCCCATGCTCCTGCCTCCTTTCATTTACTCCAACCAGGGGTCCACACAGCCTCTGCTGAGTTCCTAGGCCTCAGAGGGAGCTCTGAGGGACTATTAAAGGAAACCTCTCTTCTCATTTTCTTTGAATAAGGTGTGTTTTAAAGATCAAAGTTAACAAACTACATGACACAGAGAATGGCAATTTGCTTTTTTCCATTTAGGGTTTTTTTTCCATTTAGGAGGGGGCATATGAAATGGTAAATAGCTTAATAGCTTTCAAATTTTATTCCTCTATCCCAAACCTCTAGGGCAGCCCTGTCCAAAAGAACTTTCTGCAGTGATAGGAATCATGTTCTATGTTTACATTATCTGATATGGTAGCCACTAGTCACATGTACAACTAAAGGACTGACTTTCTAAATTAATCAATTTCAGTAGCCACATGTAGCCAGTGGCTGTAAGTAAGTGTATGTGTTGGGGGCTTAGATGTGTGGAAGATAAGGCTAATTAAGCAAGACCAGCATCCTCTTTCCACCTCAAATCACTTCACTTCTGTAACATTTATATATATTAGAGTTGCATGCAACACTGTAAAAAGTGTTCTGTTGCTTTTATAAAACTGAATAACCTGATTTCTGGACTAGGAGCCACAAAATCTGGGTTCAAGTCCTAGGTCTTCCCCATAGGCAAGTTGCTTCACCTCTTTCAATCTGTATCTGTGTCTGTCAAGTGGGAATATTAGTAACCCCTACCCTGTACCACATACTCTTGTGAGAATAAAATGTAGCAATATATTTGAAGGCTTTGTACAGTATAAAGGTACTACTAATAGATTCATTATCGTTACTATCTTTGCAGAACCAGAAGGACCCTGGTGTCCTTGACCGCATGATGAAGAAACTGGACCTCAACTGTGATGGGCAGCTAGATTTCCAAGAATTTCTCAATCTTATTGGAGGGATGGCTATAGCTTGCCATGACTCCTTTATCATGTCTGCCCGTTTCCAGAAGTAAATCTAAGGAGCGAGCCCTTGGGCCTGGCATCCAGATCACCCCTTTCCTTCCAGCCTCCCAATCATCACCTACTCCTCACACCCTATGTACCCCAAGCCCGGCATACCTGCCACCCCTTGCAGGCCACTCCTGCTGGCAGTAATAAAACTATATCATTTTTCTTTTTAAAGCACCCATTAGAAAGTCAGTACATTTGTGCCAGGGAGGAAAGGAGTGGGAAGAATGTAAATTCAATTGATGGAAGCAGTTCTCAGAAGCTGCATAGTAAATAGTAAAAATACATCTTGGATGTATCTATAATCATAACATCACAGAATCATCTCTAAATTACACTGATGAAGAGGTGTCACTTGGCATTATTTACCCCTGCTACAGGCACTGTCATGGGCTCTGAGGATACAGTCAGCAAGTCATAAGGTCCTGCCTTCACTGAGCTTACTTGCTGGTTGGGGAGAAAAAAAAAGAATGAACAAATAAAGGACTCCACGAATGTGAGGAATCTTATGGAGGAAAAATGAGGTGGTCTGTTACAGAATAACAGGGCCTGGAAGAGGGCATTCTGAGGAGGTAACATTTGTGCTGAGATCTTAAGGGTAAGAAGGAGCAAGCATTCAGAAAGGTGGGGAGGGCATTTCAGAAGGAACAAGGACAAAGGTCCTGAGGTGAGGAGTGGGGTGCTGGAGGAATAGCAAGGAGTCTTAATACTAAGGTCTTTATGTTTGACTTGGCCTAGGTTCAACATCAGTTTTAATTTTCTAAGCACACTGATGAAGCAGCAGGGGAAAAGCCTAGAAAGGATTTGAAGTCTGACCCAGGGTTAAACAATAGAATAGAGGAGCAGGTGTTAGCAGTGCACACCCATCCCTAAGCAGCACACACAACCTCTGATTCTTTATCCAGTTATGTTGAGTTTTAACTTCCTAGTAAAAGTCTTTCTAGATCACAGTTTCTTCATAAATTAATAGAACTAATCAGACTATTTCTGAGACTGCTTTTTTGCTCTGTTTTGGAGTTTTTTGGCTCTGACATTCCAGAATGAAGACCAGTGCCTCAGGTTCACAAGTCCCCAGATTTTCCAAGTAGAATTGTTGCTACTTCTTGGATAAGTTCTTTAATTCATTAGCCACCAGGGTGGGGGGGTAAGAAACGGTAGTCATGAAACTATCCATATTATTCCCTTGCTAGGTAGGTATGTCCTACATAAAAAATTTTTTAAGTGAAAATGGTTCTGTCCCAAAGAACACTGAGGCAGGGAAAAGACGGAAGAACACCAGGTACCCTAGAGTCACTGGCCCATTTGCTATTCTACCAAGAAATCACTAGCCCTGGCTCTAAAACAGGCTCAAGGAACCAACCAGGAAATCTCCACTTGCTTGATATTTTCAAGTTGTTTTTCATGGGGTTTTTTGTTTGTTTTATTTGAAATGTGGTTGACATACAATATTTTCACAACGTGGTGATTTAATATCTGCATACATTACAAAATGATCATGGTAAATCTACCATCTGTCACCAAGTAGTTAAACATTAACTGTAGTTCCCTATGCTGTACATCGTATCCCCATGTCTTATTTATAACTTGAAGTTTTTATCTTTGATTTGATAAGATCTAATAAGTACTAAGCTTCTAATTCAAGATTCAAATCAACTCTATGGGGTGTCTCATATGCAAGGTGAGTGATGGAGAGAGACATCAGGAGACATTGGTTTGGGGAGGAGGTGTGTTATATTTGAGGTGTGGTTAAGAGATCCAGCTGGGAATCCCCAGTGGGCATCTGGAAGTTTGGAGAGGCGACCTAGCTTGAGAAGTAAAGAGAGAGGAGGGCCTGAGGGTGTTCCCTCACCTGGGGTGGGGAGGGCAACAAGAAGACCTAGCAAAGGAGAACTACTAATGACGTGGGGGAGAGGGAGCAGAGCTGATGGAAGATCATGGTTAAGAAAGCATTATTAGTGACAGTTACTGTCTTTAAAAGCTGATGCTCCTTTAGTCCACATGCAAAGCTTCCTTCTCATGCTTCATGGATCTCATCCACTCCTGTGTCTTCATTTACTAGGAAAATGATCACTCACATTTACCTCCTCAACCCAGTTCTAGCTCCAGAGCTTCAAAACTGCCTCCTAGGTTTCTCCACATATAGTAATACCAGTATCTTTTGTGTATGCATGTATTGAACAAAGATTTACTTATATTGTGTAAGACACTGTTCTGCGGGGCAGGTGTAGGGGAATGAATGAAGCGGACAAGATTCTTGTCCTAGGTTCATCATATCCCAAACTGACCTTAGCATCTTCCCAACTTCCCAAGCCTGCTCCTCCACTGTTCCCATGTCAGCAAATGACACCTCCACCCACCTAGTTGCCCTGCCCAGAAAATGTTAAGGCAGCTTTGACTCCTTTCCCCTTATTCCTCACATCCAACCAAATCCCCAAGTTCATCTGATCACCCAGATATCCCTTCAGTGCACCTCAAGCCTTCCCCTGGCCCAGGCCACTGCCATTGCTCGTCTGGATACTGCAGCAGCCCCCTCACTGGCCCCATTCCTCTGGCCTTGACCCTATCCACTCCTTTTTCCTTCCTGAAGTCTCTGATCTGGTTGCTCTCCAGCTTAAAGCCTTTCAGAGGGCTCCCCAATGCTCTTAGGTATGTAAGGCCAGCCACAATGCACCCCCACTTCACTCATCTGACCTCCCCCTCTTTGCCCCCACCCTCACACATGCACCCTCTAAATTCCAGCCATAGTGAACTTGTTTAGTCCCCTCAACACAGTGGGCTTCTCTCACTCTGCCTGGAGCACTCTTCCACCTCACCACACCAATTCATGCATACATCCCTCTTACCCTTCCTGTCTCGGCCTACACAGCTATTTTTCCTCCAGAAAACCTCACTGAACTCATTAGGTATACATGCCCCATACCTCCCCTTTCAAAGCACTTACACTGATTGGCTGTACACTGCATCTTCCCTGGGTAACCTTCTCCAAACTCATGATCTGCATGCCAGTCACTTATATTTCTATCCCTGGCCCAAATCCCTCTAGAACTGTCATCCATTTAACTTATCATCTCTTCCTGGCTGAACCACAACTAGGATTCTTGTTGTTGCAGGTAATATAAAACTCCATTTAAGTTGTAAGCAAAGCAGGAATTTATTGACTCATGTAACTGAACAGTCAAGGGACAGTTTTAGTTTTAGACAGCTCTAGGAGCTGGTGTCTTTAAATTTGAAGATAATCCACTGATGTGGGGGAAATGATTGCCTTTATCCCACAGTTCTCAACAAAATTACTAAGATTCCCTGTTTGGACCAGTTTAGATCATGATCACCCCTAGGCCAATCAGTGGTCTGAAAGTATGCAGTGCTCTGAATAACAGGCCCCGGCTGCATACTTAATGCTTAAAACTGGGATGGACCCCTAACCCAAACTACTGAAGCTGCTGCAGAATCCAGATGATCCTGCAAAGGCGATGGAGGCCTAGGCCAGGGGAAGGCTGGGGCAGACTGAAGGGATATTTGGGTGGAGAATCAGATGAACTTGGGGATTTGATTGGATGTGAGAGTTGGGGAGAGTGGATCAGGCATGGGAAATAGATGCTGCAAACAAACACATAAGGAACATATAACTCAATACATGTTCTAAACTGGATTCTACATCCTCCCCAAATCTGATCCTCTTGCTTCACACCCGATTTCAGTACACAGCACCACCTTCCACCCAACTGTTCAAACTAAGAACCTGAGGATAATCTAAACTCTTTCTCACAACCCCAGTCCTCATTTCTTGGGATTTACCTCTTGCATACTCATCTCCTCTTCCCCACCCTCATTGCTTTATCTCAGACTCTCTTTTAACTGTATTTGTGGTTATTCCCTATCTGTTTATATCAGTTGTACTTGTTCTTGTATCCTGCAATTTAAATAGTCCATAAACCATAAAATATGAATGCAAAAGGATAATTGTTGTATTTATGAAAGCCAAGTTGAATTCAAAGACTTGATTAGGAAAATTCACTGAAGATCACTCGTGATGTAGGTATAGCTGAGACAACTATAAACAAATTAGGAAAAATATCATAAAAATCTAAAAGGATCTTTCACTCAGATTGTCCCAAAAGTATCTTTAAATTCTCCATTTAAAAAAATGAACTGAAAATCATTATGATTCCTGTGGTTAAAACTGGGCATTGGTCCCTCTTAACATGCAGGATGGAATTCAAACTCCTTTGAGGGCACTCGAGCCTTCAAGGTCATGCCCCTGTCCCCCAAACTCCAGTCTTATTTCCCGCTTTCATCATGACCAGTTCTTCCCTCTAGCCTTGCCAAGCACTCCTGAACAGCTAAGTGTCATGCCTTTGTAATCTCTTCTTGCTGCCCTGAGAGCTCTCTGCCCCTTTTCCACCTCTTCCTACTTGTCCCACAGAGCAACGCAAGTGTCATCTCCCCAGGAAGCCTTCCTTATACCCACCCCTACCCAAGACTGATTTTAATGCTCTTACTCTATGCATCCACAGCACTCTCTGTTCTTACCTCCACCATAGCACTTATCACTCTGTATTGTAACAGTGATTTTGTGTGTCTGTTTTCTCCAACTAGAACTTGAATTCAAGAACAGGGACCTAGTTACATGCATCTTTGTATCACTAGTAGTTAATGTGGTGTCCAGCATATATAGTAGTCCCCCACTTCTCTGCAGAATTGTTCTCCACAGTTTCATTTATCTGAGATCAACCTTGGTCCAGAAGCAGATGATCCTCCTCCTGGCTTATTATAATCTAGTGCTACATTATAGTGCCTATGCCTTTCACCTCACTTCATCTCATTACATAGACATTTTATCCTCTCACACCTTAAGAAGAAGGGTGAATACAGTACAAGATATTTTGAGAGACCAAATTCACACAATTTGTACTACAGCATATTATTATTCTATTTTATTATTGTTAAGCATTGTGCCTTATTAATTAAACTTTATCATAATTATGTATGTATAGGAAAAAACATAGTTATGTTTATAGGGTTTGGTACTATCCATGTTTCAGGCATCCATTGAGGGTATTAGAATGATCCCCTATAGATAAAGTCTGAAAATATGTATTTATGTTATAAAATCAGACTTGGGACACTGTGTGTATCAGGGTCCTCACATGAAGCACATGAACATTCAACAGGGTCACTGATGAAAAGTTTAATGAAGAAAACTATTACAAATATGTGGGCAGTGATAAGAGAACAAACAAGGAATGGCAAAGCACCAGGAACTAGTGAAATTAGGAGCTGTTACCACCACTAGGGCCTGACTAGGCAAGGCAAGAGAGAGGGATCCCTAACGATGCTATAGCTTTACATATAGAGCAGCCACTCTCAGGTCATAGGAGACAGGAGGGAACCAGGACAATAAATACCAGTTTTCCCTTGCGCCTTCTGATCTCCTGCTAGTGCCTGCCATTGGAAGGCTGAGCAGGACACAGAAGCATAGAAGGTGGACCTGGAGGGGCAGAGAGAATATCCAGCACATTGGAAGGTGAGGTCAGTATCTCCCTGACAGTAGCACACTGTACTCTTGACACAGGGAGAAGCAAAGAATCAATTGGCAACACTAATGTAAGTAGATGTTTCTTTTTTATTACGTATTCTCAATTTATTAAAATGGTTTTTCTTCTTTTTTAAATTGTGGGTAAATATATATACAAGTAAAATTTAACATTTTAAGTGCACAGTTCAGAAGGATTAAGTACATTCATATTGTTGTGCAAACCTCACCTATCCATCTCCAGAACTTTTTTCATCTTTCCCAACTAAAACTCTGTACTCATTAAACAATTACCTCATTTTCCCCCTTTCCCATCCCTATCAACCAACATTCGACTTTCCATCTCTGTGAATTTAACTACTGCAGGTATCTCATATAAGTGAAATCATACACTTTTTGTCCTTTTGTAGCTGCTTATTTCATGTAGTGTCATTTTCTCAAAGTTCATTCATGTTGTAACATGTCAGAAGTCCCTTTTTAAGGTTGAATAATATTCCACTGTGTGTGTATACCACATCTTGTTTATCCATTCATCCCTTGATGGACATTTGGGTTGCTTCCACACATTTGGTTACTATAAAGTGTTGCTGTGAACATGGGTGTACAAGTATCTGTTCAAGTCCCTGCTTTCATTTCTTTTGGATACATACCTGGAAGTGGAATTGCAGTATCATATGGAAATACTGTGTTTAATTTTTTTTCTTTTCCTTCTCCCCTCAAACCAGTGCACTGTTCCCAGAGGTCCTGCAATACCAGGATGATGCATAGAGTGGACAGAGCAAGCTCCTATTCCATCTCCCTGCTCCAAAAATCCATTTAGTGTATTGTCCTTTAGTATAGAGGACATATCAGGTATTAAACTGATAAGAACAGATACTTCCTTATGTTTAATTTTTAGAAACTACCATACCATTTTCCACAGTAGCTGCACCATTTTACATTCCCACAATAATGCACAAGGGTTCCAATTTTTCCACATCCTCACAAACAGTTGTTATTTTTGTTTTTTGAGTAATGGTCATCCTAAAGGGCACGAAGTGGTAGCTCAGTTTTTTTATTTGTATTTCCCTAATAATTAGTGATGTTGAGCCTTTTTTCATATCCTTATTGGCCATTTGTATATTTCATTGGAAAAAAGTCTGTCTGAGTCCTTTGCCCATTTTTCCCCAACTTTACTGAGGTATAATTGGTATGGAAAAATTGCATATAATTTATGTATATAATTTGGTAATTTTGCCCATTTTTTAACTAGGTTATTTGTTTTTTTATTATTGAATGTAGCAGTTCTTTATATAATGTGGATATTAATCCCTTATCAGTTACATGAATTTTCACATTCTATAGGTTTTCTTCTCACTCTGTTGGTAGTATCCTTTGATGCACAAATGTTTTTAATTTTGATGAAGCCAAATTTATCTATTTTGTATATTATTGCCTGTGCTTTTGAAAAAAAAAATCAAGCAAAGATCCATCCTTTAATTTGAGCCATGATGCTAGGACTTCGGTCAAAATTGAGAATGAAACACGTATAGCAAGGTCTTTCCTGTTGCATACAATGCTGCATAAAATGGAAACCTCCCTAACAAAAAGTTTAATCACTTGTCAGTTTAAAAGGCAGAAAGGGAAATATCCAGACACCAAAAGAAAAAGGGAACTCATAGTTGTAATAGTAACCAGAGTTGAGTTGAGGCCCTGGGCTGTAATAGAAAACAGGACCTGAGCTCTTATCTAAAAGAGACAACTACTAAGGAGCTGCCCTGGCAGTGATGGAAGCCCAGAGAACTGAGCCCACCACCCCAGGCAGGACTCAGAATGAGCCCTGCTGAGTGGGGGACAGATTTATCAGGGAGAAATCAGAATGCTGCATCTGTGCATCCTGAAGGCATGGAGCTCACACACACACTGCTCCCTGGTACCAAATCCCCAGGTGAATAAATTATCTAAAAAGGGTTCCAGAGCAGTAGGCACCATAAAACCCTAGGCAAATTCAAACCACCTCACAGAGACACCTCCAGCTGTTTGGAGAATTTCCACAAAAGATAAATCTGGCTAAAATGAGCTTACAGACAAACATTATACTGTGCATGAGGGACCATCAGTATATGCAACAGATGAGAGACTTTATACCCAAGCAACAAGAGAGTGAGAGAGAGTGATCTGGAACAGAATGCAACATGAGTACATTTAAAATGTTCAAATAAATAAAGCAAGAAATAGGACACATAAAACAAGAACAGCAGTGTCTGAAAGAACCAAATAGAGCTTCTATAAATGAAATATATAGTCATGCAAATAATATAAAGGATCATGAAGCTGGGCATTCCACCAAGAATTCATGGCTAAGCTCCAGTGATGGGAGAAAGGATCTCTCCCACGGAGTGCACCTCAGGAAGAAGACCTCAGTGACTCACCACCCCATCTACCTCACAATGACCCTACAGTTCTGTCTATGAACCTGGTGAGAGATGTACTGGGAATTTGAGCAGAGAAGTGGAGAGGAGACTACACCTATGCAGCAACTGTGATAACTCATGCTTTGTTTTTCCACACTCCCTAATCTTCCAAATCTCCCCCAGCCACCACCAAAAGCATTCCTGGATGACTACAGTTAAGAAAGAAAACTGGGAGGGAAAGGCGAATCTGTACTGGCTGGGGGGTGGGTTCTGAGTGACCTGAGCACCCTGTGAGAAAAGGCAGCGAGGCAGAGAGAAGTACCCGCCATCCAGGGCCCTCACCTCACCTCTCTCGGCTGAGAACACAACCTTCCCAGAATGTTCCTATTACCAGATTCTTATTTTATCCTCACAACAACTTAGTGCCAACATTATCATTAAACATGATCTTTGGAGTTTCCAGGGCTTCTGGTAGGAATGCAAAGCAAAACAATGAGGAACATTGCAAATCCAGACCACAAAGAGATTAACTTCTAGTAGAGGAAGAAAACCAAATGTTTAAGTTGAGGAAGGTGTAAATTAATATCCACCAGGCAGCAGACATTACTTCGTAAGTGCTAGTTCACCCTCTTATTTCCTCACTACTAAACGTCCTCAACTCCTCGCAGTTGGGCTGCTTTCTGCCCCCACGGCTGAGACTGCTTTCCCCAGAGTCAAACAAGTCCTTACTGTATTACCAAATCCAATACCCTTGTCTCTGTCTCCATAGTCCTCAATTCACAGCACTGTTGAACATTGTTGACTGCTCCCATATGCCCTGAAATTGTTAGGTACGAAGACAGATACAAGCAGTTGGAGAAGAGAGGGTCTGGAGGGAAAGCACCACCCAGTCCATGGCCAGCTAGAGAGGCCCCACTTTATGAAAAATTTTGTCGAGGGACAACTTCCTTATCTGAGAAGTCCAGGGCTAGCAGGTCCACACCAGATCACCACACAGGCGCAGTTAGACAATAACAACCACTGCTTAACCATACCTCATTATAATCTTGTTAGCATAAAACCTACATTGTGCTTTTACACTTACACAAACCCCATCCCCCATGGGCTCTTCTGTGTGCATTCTGGGAAAAGACATGCATGTTAAGATAAATGATTATATGACTAAAAGTATAAATCAAAGAAATGCCTCCCAACTAGGGCTTAATAAAAGAGACCTTCCCATAAGGATCAAGGCTTCAGTCAGTGCTGACTCTGGCCCCCTCCCCTCTTGGAGTGTACTTAAATAAACCTTTACTTTGCTTTTCCATTCTTTGTCTCAGTGGGGACAAGAACTGAGGAGCAACCATGAACCATGACAAAATCATCTTCCTGGATTCTTACCACACCATGTTGTCTTCTTCCTCTGGCCTATGTGGGGAAAATGGAAGTTTCTGACCAGGATTCCCCGCTGGCCCTAATATTGCCCATTGTGTATGTAATTAGAGCCTGTTTACACATTTATGGGATGTTTACCAGCAACAGCGCCACTGGTCAGTCACAGGAAAAACTGCCCAGGGAGGGGTGGAGAGGCAACACCCATTCTCTCCTCTCCCTGTGTTCCTGGTATGTAATTGGTCAGGCAACCACCAGTCACCAGGAACCTGCCCAGAGAGTCCCTCCAAGAGCACAAGAGGAGGGAGTATGGAAAGGCCAGGATAGCCATGAGAGAGCCTTGGAGCCCTGGTGCTCCTGTAGAATTGATCCTGAGTATGGAGCGGGGAGCTTGGAGCGTGGAGAGCCAGGAGACTGAGACCTACTGCCTAGAAGATTGAGCTCCTGCTGGGAAGCAGCACCTGTAGCCGGCCTGCTGAGCACATTCAAGCCAGCCGACTGTCCTGAGCTGCCTGTGACTGCCAAGAGAATAAACGTGGTAACGCCCTTTTTTTATCCCCAACTTCCTGCTCTTGCCTTTTCAGTCTCATCAAACTCACAGAGAACTTACCCAGGGTCGAGAACCTCCTCCTGGAGCTACACCTTAGAAAACCTAGATTCTGGTCCCAGATCTGCAACATACCAGCTGTGTGATCTTGGGCAAGTTCTCTGAGTTTTTTCTTCTTTAGTTAGAAGTGAGGATAATAACTACATGCCCTATCTTCCTACAGGGTTGTTATAAGACTCAAGGAAAATAATGAGGATGAAAAGGCCCTTTAAAAGGAAGTGCTAGATCTTACTACGCTGATGGACAGTGACTGTAATGGAGTATGTGGTGGGAACTTGTTAATGGGGGGAATCTAGTAACTACAATGTTGCTCATGTACCTGTATGTTAATTATACCAAAACAAACAAACAAACAAACAAATAAGGGAATGCTAGATTTGTGGAGATTTGTGCCACTCAACAAGTCTGCACCCCTAACCCTAACAACGAAGCAAAACTGAAGGAACAAAACAGCAGCAGACTTACAGACTCCAAGAAGGGACTAGTGGTTAACAAAGTGGAGGGTTGTGGGACGGCGGGTGCGGAGGGAAGGAGAAGGGGATTGAGAGGTATTATGTTTAGTACATATGCTGTGGGGGGTCATGGGGAAGACAATGTAGCACAGAGAAGGCAAATACTGAATCTGTGGCATCTTACTACACTGATGGACAGTGACTGCAAAGGGGTTTGGGGGGGTCTTGATAATATGGGTAAATATAGTAACATTGTTTTTTCATGTGAAACCTTTGTAAGAGTGCATATCAATGATACCTTAATTAAACAAATAAATAAATGGGAAGGCTAGATACAAATGACTATTTTTACCTCTTGTCCCTTTTTCCTTTTTTCATGGAAAATTTCTACAAAAACAGAGAAAGTAATATAGTCTGACTCACGGATACTATCTTGCCTAATTTATATCACGATTGTTGGTGAGGAAGAAATTTCCACCTCTCAAGACTCTTCTAGCTGGTCTAAAAACCAAACTGACATGAGACAGATTAATAGGAGAAAAAATAAGTTTAACTACCTACATTTGGGGAAGCCATAGGCATGGGTTCCAAAGACAGTCAGGGAGAATGAATATACATGTCATCCTGAACCAAGGAGAAAGGGGTAGGGGCCTAAGACCTCAAAGGAAAAAGGAAGTAATTCTCAGGAATTTGAAAGAGTAAATGTTTGGTAAACAAAATGAGACAGGGACCATGGTAATAGTCAGAGTAGGGTGAGGGCCCCCAGAGAAAAAGCAGAGCAAGATAATTACAGTCAGAACAATGTAGCAATGTGCAAAGAAGTCCCTATGTAAACTCTGTGATAAGCATTAAGTCAGAGTCACACTAATTCTCTAGGGTAAAGATGCCAGACTAGGAATATAGCCATCTTCAGTGAAATCAGTTAAAACTCAAAAGGCCAGCAGCAACTTAGCCTGGAATGTTTGAGTGTCCTGCAGATAAAGAAAAGTGTCTCAGCATAACCCATGACTTCACTGTATCAATTTAAATCATGACACTGTAAAATTTACCTTAGCCTGCTAAAAGGCCCAGCTTATTTTAACTCTACCCATGTGCTATATTTCCTTCTCTGATCCTAACCAAGTAATCTGCAACCTAGGAAAAAGACTGAATTATTAAGCAAGCCCAACTATAAACGGCCCAAGAAGTTAAGAAGTAAGATTCTTAATTTACTTCAGCAAACAGGCAACAACCCAGCCCACCTTGGGGGCAGGGTAGGCGGTCTTAATCGACATACTCCCAGAGGGAAACTGCTATCTTGAGAAAAAGTCAGAGCAGAAAATTTCTTCTGTTACTCATCAAGAATGAGCATTCTGGGGCCGCTCAACAAGTCTGCACCCCTAACCCTGTACCCTCATTCCTGAAAATCCTCAACCACACATAAAACCACTAGACAGTGAGGCAACCACGGACTCTCTTGTCCCCTCCTGGTGTGAGCTGGGAGCTCTGTCCTCTCACTTTATCTCTAAATAAAAGCCTGTACCTTGCTCTGATACCTTGAGTGTTTGTGAAGCTCATTCTTCAGCTTCGTGCCCCAGCATCAAAAACACCTGACGAGCCTCAGGGAAATAATGGGGCAGAGAGAGATTCTAACAATCAGGCTTTGCCATGTTCCTGTGTATCACCCCTGGTTTACATTATAATATAGCTCTCTGTGGTGATGGCACTCCTCCTGGAATCGTTCTTTTTATGCATTTAGGGGTGGGGAGGTCAATGTATCTTCCTGAGTCTTTTGGGTCATGATGGTTTTCAGCTCAAAATAATCTGCCTGTCACAATGGCACACCTTGGGGTGGCCTGCCCTCGGTCCCTGTTTTATAGCAGGTAGATAGCCAAACATGAGCAGGGAAAGGGGAGGGACTTGAATCAGATGCTTGCTTACATTACACACATTCTGTACTAGCTGTTCCTAAGGGATGGGGAGTGAGGGTATATATATAACAGACCAGCCAAAACTGGTGGCTCCAACATGGAGGAGAAGTTGACCCTGACTTACCTCCAAATATATTATATATTCATTAGCACAGTAAAAACTATGCCTCCCTGTGCCATGACAGTTCCAAAGATAATCAAATTTAGTCAAGAAACCTGTACCTGACAGAAGGGTGGAGCAAGCCTACACCCTAGGAACACCTTTTCTCTTTGAAACCTAATCTCACTTAGTAAAGATTCATCTCCCTTTATATAAAAAGGGTTCCCTATTGTTCCCTCAGCAGACCCCCTCTGACTCTGCTCATGCTCCAACTCGGGTGTGTACTCGCGTTTTTCTCTAAACTTTATTCTCCAAATAAACTCTTAATACTCAATGGCTCTTCTGCATAGCTCTTGAATTCTTTCTTGCAAGGACAGCAAGAACCTGTCTCCAGTAACACCTACACTATAAACCCCAACACTGGATTGTTTTGAAGTTAATCCAAAACAACATATTTATATCCATAATGTATCTATATAGATATATAGATTTTTAAATGATAATGACTTTTATTTTTAAAGTACAATCACAGTATTTATTAAATATTTTTTTAACTTTTTTTTGGTATCATTAATATACAATTACATGAGCAACATGATGATTACTAGATTCCCCCCATTATCAACTCCCCACCACATATACCATTACAGTCACTGTCTATCAATGTAGTAAGATGCTTTAGAGTCACTCACTACTTCTCTGTGCTATATGGCTTTCCGGTGCCCCACCTTACATATGTGTGCTAATCGTAATGCCCCTTATTCCCCTTTTCCCTCCCTTGCCTACCACACTCCCCAGTCTGTTTCCCTTTGGCAACTGTCAGTCCATTCTTGGGTTCTGTGAGTCTGTTGCTGTTTTGTTCCTTCAGTTTTTGCTTTGTTCTTATACTCCACAGACAAGTGAAATCATTTGATACTTGTCTTTCTCCGCCTGGCTTATTTCACCGAGCATAATACCCTCTAGCCCCATCTACATTGTTGCAAATAGTAGGATTTGTTTTCTTCTTTTGGCTGAGCCTAATATTCCATTGTGTATATGTACCACATCTTCTTTATCCATTCATCTACTGATGGACACTTAGGTTGCTTCCATTTCTTGGCTATTGTAAATAGTGCTACAATCAACATAGGGGTGCATATGTCTTTTTGAATCAGAGAAGTTGTATTCTTTGGGTAAATATCTAGGAGTGGAATTACTGGGTTAAATGGTATTTCTATTTTGAGTTTTTTGAGGAACTTCCATACTACTTTCCACAATGGTTAAACTAGTTTCCATTCCCACCAGCAGCGTAGGAGGGTTCCTGTTTCTCCACATCATTGTCAGCATTTGTGTTCCTAGTCTTTTCTATGCTGGCCATCCTAACTGGTGTGAGGTGATATCTCATTGTGGTCTTAATTTGCATTTCCCTGATAATTAGTGCTGTGGAGCATCTTTTCATGTGCCTGTTGGCCATCTGAATTTCTTCTATGGAGAACTGTCTGTTCATATACTCCACCCATTTTTTGATAGGGTTATTTGCTTTTTGGGTGTTGAGGTGTATGAGTTCTTTATATATTTTGGATGTCAACCCCTTGTCAGATATGTCATTTACAAAGTATTCTCCCATACTGTAGGATGCCTTTTTGTTCACTGATAGTGTCCTTTGCTGTACAGAAGCTTTTTAGCATGATGTAGTCCCATTTGTTCATTTCTTATTTTGTTTCCCTTGCCCAAAGACATGCGTTCAGGAAAAAGTTGCTTATGTTTATATTCAAGAGATCTTTGCCTATGTTTCCGTCTAAGAATTTTATGGTTTCATTACTTAAATTCACATCTTTGATCGATTTTGAGTTTGCTTTTGTGTATGGGGTTAGACAATAATCCAGTCTGATTCTCCTACATGTAGCTGTCCAGTTTTTCCAACACCAGCTGTTGAAGAGGCTGTCATTTCCCCATTGTATATCCACAGCTCCTTTATTGTATATTAATTGAGCATATATGCTTGGGTTTATATCTGGACTTTCTATTCTATTCCACTGGTCTGTGGGTCTGTTCTTGTGCCAGTACCAAATTGTCTTGATTACTGTGGCTTCGTAGTAGAGCTTGAAGTCAGGGAGCATAATTCACCCCACTTTATTCTTCCTTCTCAGGACTGCTTTGGTTATTCGGGGTCTTTTGTGGTTCCATATGAATTTTAGAACTATTTGCTCTAGTTTGTTGAAGAATGCTGTTGGTATTTTGATAGGGATTGCATTGAATCTGTAGATTGCTTTAGGCAGGATGGCCATTTTTATAATATTAATTCTTCCTATCCATAAGCATGAGATATGTTTCCACTTATTAGTATCTTCTTTAATTTCTCTCATGAGTGTCTTGTAGTTTTCAGAGTATAGGTCTTTCACTTCCTTGGTTAGGTTTATTCCTAGGTATTTTATTTTTGATGCAATCGTGAATGGAATTCTTCTCCTGATTTCTCTTTCTGCTAGTTCA